CTTTAGTTTGCTCAAGTGTTCTTCGAATGTTTGTGAGAATATAATGATGTCGTCTAGGTGGATTAGCACTTCCTTCCATTTCATATCCCAAAAAACTTGGTCTGCTAGTTCTTGGAAAGTGGCTGGCGCGTTGCATAATCCAAAACTTAAGACATTAAATTCGTACGTCCCATGTCCTTGCGCCACGAAGGCAGTGTATTGCTTGGACTTCTCTTCGACTGGAACTTGCCAATATCCGGAAAACATATCGAGTGTGCTAAACCATTTTGCATTGCCCAAGTATGACAAAATGTCATCGATCTGTGGTAGTGGGTATGTTGATTTTTTTGTTACTGTGTTCACCTTTCTGTAATCTACACAAAATCTTGTTTTTCCATCTTTTTTCTTAACTAGCACTACAGGGCTAGCCCATGGAGAGTGGCAAGGCCGAATTACTTTGCTATCGAGCATTTCCTGGATTTGTTCGTCAATAATCTGTCTTTCTTTTTGTGACACTCTGTATGGGCGGCTCTTTATTGGGCGAGCCTCTCCGACGTCTATTATGTGTTCTGTTAAGTTTGTCTTTCCCATATGTTTTGTGGATTTCGCGAAAACGTCGTTGTGTTCCAGAAGGAGTTCTTTGAGTTCATGCCTGTTCTTCTCGTTTGTGATGCTGTCTAACTTATGATCTTCCATTGTTATTTCTTCGCTCTCTTCGTCTTTTTCTGCTTGTAACATGAAATTGTGTGAAAGATTTGTCTCTGATGCTGTTTCTGCCAAAAATGCCATTGTGGTTCCGGCGTAAATAGCTACTGGGTTCCTTGTGTTCGATTGTACTTTTAAAATGAGGCTACCTTCATTGGTGTGAATGTGCGTTTTTAGTTCAAGATGATTTTTTGCTAACCAGTCTAAATTATATTTGCATGTATACGTAGTATTATCTTTAATCTCAGTATTTTTGCCCATAATATCTCATTCCAATGTTTTTAACTCATTCTGAGACACCGTATAATCTTTCTTTGTACCCAATTTATATGTCTTTTTCTTGGTTTCTGTACCGATTTGCATCAGATGCCTGATTTCTTCTTCCTGCTTTTCTTCTTTAGCTTTATACCCAGGTTTTTCCCTATAAATATGAATTTGGACCCCTGCATCTTCAAATAGAAAATATATCATCTTTTAAATCTTGTCCATTCTTTTTCTAATCCCCATCCTTGTCTTGGAATGACTAATTTTTTGATGGATTTATTTTTTGAGATATTGTTCCTCAGTGCTGTGAGACATTTATACATATTTCTTGTACTTGGCTTCTTCTTCATTGATTCTCTTGTGAATAGAAAAATTACTGATTTTTTTCCTTGTTTCGACATAGATAGCTCCCCAATGGTCCCTTTCTCTCTCTTTTTTGGAATCATATGCCTATATTTTCTGAAAACTGATTTTTTTGATTTGTAGTTTTGGGTTACTCCTACTACTAAAACGGCATCGTTCGTTAGGACGTCTATGTTTCCATATTCTTCTTTCAGGAGACCGTTAACCTGGTCATCTTTTATGTGAATGTGCTCTCTTACAAACTTGTTAAACTCTTGTTCATTTCTTGAAGTATCTAGTTTAAGCTCTCTCGTTTTAATTGGCTGTTTTGTTGTGACCAGACCTGACATGTTGATTTTTTCGTTATTCATTTGTCTTAGGGGTATTTCATACTGACCATTCAGATTCAGTTTTTTCCTTGGGAGATCTATGATCGCGTTATTTTTTGTCAAAAACTCCATGCCTAGGATTATTGGTTGAGTTAATGATGAAATCACTTTGGCGTTTAGTCTGCCCTTCCATTTTTGACTTCCTGGTATTTCTATTGGAACTTCAATGTCTCCCAAAACTTTTATCTGGTGTCCTCCTGCAGTGACTAGAACCGTGTCATCATTTCTTGTTAGTTCCTCTTTGATTAGACTTCTTTGTAGAACGCTATCTTGTGCTCCTGTATCCACGATTGCTGATATGTACTTATTATTTAATCTAATTGTGATGTGCAAGATTCCCATGCTATTGTTCTTCCCCATGGTAAGGATGGCAGGGGCTTTTAATTTTGCCATCCCTTCTCGTTTGGGTTTTGTCGTCGGGCTGTACAGGTGTTTGCAAAGTGACCCTGTTTTCCACAAACAAAGCAACCTGGATTGTTTAAGTTGTTTCGTGGCGTATACGATTTGTTCCTTTGAGGCTGGGATCTGCATACTGTTGCAGTATGTCCTGTTTTCCCACAGTTGTAACAAACGGTGGCAATTTTTGAGTTGGAGTTATGATTTCTCATCTTTTGGCTCCTACATACAGCTGCGAAATGTCCTGTTTTGCCACAATTATAACACGTTTGGTTAGATATTGGTACTCTTGTGCTTGTGTGTTCTCCTTGCATTCGAATTCTGCAGGTGGCCATTACATGTCCTCTTTTTCCACAATAATGACATATCTTTAGTTCTGTGTCTGTTATTGTATTTCTTTCCATACAGCTGGTAATTTGGGTATCTTGCGTTGCACTTTTCTTCGGAGCTTTATCTATTGTGTCTGCTATTTCTTTTAATTGTATAAGTGATGTTGGTGGCTTGTTCGGCGGGTTTGTTAACCAGTAGTAAGTGTAATGATTTATCTTTGTCAATCCTTCGCTGAAAATCCTTACAAATTCTTGTATATCAAATGTATGCGTGTAATTGTGGTATAATACTTGTAAATCGTACAAGTATTCCTTGACTGACTCATCTTGACCCTGTTTTCTGTTTTCGACTTTTTTCTTGAGTGCCCTTTGGTAATCTGTATCCTCAAATTCCTCTGAAAAATCTTTGACAATGTCTTTCCAGCTGTTGTTTTGGTGGTCGCGCTTGTATTCCTGAAACCACAGGTTTGCGGCTCCATCTAAATACGTTTCAAAATAAACAATTTTCAGCTTTTCGTCCCACCCATTTGCTATCGCTGATCTGTCATATGTTCTTAGGAACTCGATCGCGCTGGTTTTACACGGCTGGAAGGTTTGAGGGCTGATAAACTGAGGCAACTTCGCCTTTTTCTCCGCTGTTATAGCATCAGTTATTGTGGTGTTCGCCATTATCTCCGGTTGTTCTACTTCCTCTTTAGATGGTTGCCTGGGTTTTGGTGCTTCTTGAAGGGTAAGGTCTGGTGGGCTACCAAAAACACTGTCTTCTTCGTAGCCTGTTTGATTATTTGCTTGGTTTTCTATTTCCCTTTCAATTTGTTCTAAACTGATACTGGTTGACTCTGGTGGTGATCTTTGCAGTGATCTTCTCGGCAGAAAGAGCACGTTTTCTGATTCTAATTCTACTGGTGTCGTCGCTGCTGCGTTCTTTGGCCTCAAATTATATTTGGTTTTGTCTGGCATCTATTCTTGCCACAATGGCGGCGGTACTAACTATGTGTCACAATTTGCCCGGCGCCTCCACCAAATATTTCACAACTACCCGCTTTACGGGGGTGACATGGGGGGTTTGTAGCTTTGGGGGTAGATGGAGAGAAACTCGCTCAGGTTATATAAAAATATATGCTATATATTTTCCCAAATATAACCTTACATGTATGCTAATCCTATAAGATACATGACCCTTCGTACACTGGGGTCCTTATAGGGGGCCACACGTCAATTCTGCTTGGGGGACTGTAGATAAGTTTATCGTCACCCTTATGCCTTGTCCAGAGGGGCGTTCCCAACGAGAGGTAATTGCACTGGACAACGATAAGGCTGAAGATACCCAGAGGGGCGTTCCCAACGAGAGGTACTTGCACTGGGGAGACTTAATTCCAGAGGGGCTTTTCCAACGAGAGGTACTTGCATTGGTTTAAGTCTGCCTTTGCTGCGGCTTGCAGCGCAATTTATATTAATTTATTGCTGAATTGCAATAAACATTTGATCGAATCGGCAATTAAATTAATAAGGTTGAATACCGGGTCCTCCTTTCCCAAGCAGCTAGTTGACAATATGAAAGCCCTGTATAAGGGGCGATTTTGTTCTCTGGACTTCTCTTGCATTTGTTTGCACTGAAAATCATGTCATCTGTTGGTCGGTTGGGTCTAAAGCCACACTGTGTCTCTGAGAGGTACTCTTCGGCAGTTGGGATTAGACGATTTGATAATACCTATTCTGTATCCTGGAAAGTATCTTTCCCGCAACAGGAAGCAAAGATATTTCTCTGTAGTTTCCACATTGAGCCTTGTCTCCCTTTTAAAAAATGTCAACTATGGAGGCATCTCTAAATTTGCCAGGTATGATCACTATAATCCATATTTTAGTTATTAAAATGTAGGTTTGGGCACTTATTTTGGGGCTTCCTTGTTTGAAGAATTCAGCAGGAATGCCGTCAGTATCAGTTTACTTATTGTTCTTTAGTTGTCTGATTGCCTTTTCAACCTACTCTATTCTAGCAACCTCGCCCAGTTCTTTTATTGGTTTTTGTCGAATTTTATTGAAGATGTCATCATCAATCTGTGATTCTCTGTTGACTAGTTCGAGAGGAACTGTCTTTAAGCAGTCTTGTGCCATCTTTGGATCGTAGGGGATTGAGTCCTTGGGTGGTTGGTCCGTAAACCATCTTACAATGAAAGAAGGATCTGTTCAGCTATCTGCTGCATTTCATTGAAACTATAGACTTCACTTGACCGACACCTTTTATGAACGCTTTTTTGTAGTGATCTAGATTATTTTCTCCTAGGAATTTCTGATAAACATCAAATTTTTATAATTCGGTAATTTACCTGATAATTAATTCTATCAAGATCACATTATGTTGTCAAAAGTTGATCAATAAATAGTCACTTGACCTGTATGGACTTTAAGGCAGAATCGCATTTGGGGCTCAAGAGCCATCCGGCCATCTTCATTACCTCCCCCACATGCGGGGTGGTAGACTTGCAAAATTTCCCGTGTCCCGAGGAAATTTTCTGGAAATTGGGCAACGTTGCGACGTTGACATTGACATTTTCGTCACTATAATGCGATTAATCAGTGTATCTTTTTTTTATAGAACTTAGACAATTGGAAAAGTTGTCGACGAAAAAGGCAAGAACACATAATTGAACGAGTAGTTGAAGTGAAGAAACTGACTGAACAAGAAGAACTAGAAAAAAGCAGACGAAAAAGCAAAACTTTTAGTGAAATGCTAGAGGAGAGGTAAGCAAATACTATCATTTATTATGTATTTTATGTTTAAATATTTCATATCATAAATTAGGAGAGAAGATATTCAGGTAATTTAACTTTCCAAGCGCGAATTTATAAATTTCGAAACTGTTATTCATAGTTAACAAATTAAATAACATATTTCAAGTTTAAATTATATAAGGCCCTTCTAAGCAAATTCAACTAAGTAGGTACCTACGTCATCCATTGGCGGCAAAATTCGGACAACCTCAAAGTCAACAAAAATCGTCCTTATGCTCTTAGGCCATTACAACATGTATACAATAAAATTTGATTTCCATATTAAAAACGAATAAAAATTCACCAAAAAACCTTTTTCTAAAGAAAATCCTCAGTAAGCATTCAAATCAAAAAAGACTGAAGTTTTGGTCTTCAAATATTGCTGATACATAATTAAGCAAGCACTTACAAACTCTAGAAGTTGTAAATTAAGGCTTATTTACAGCAGCCAAAGCGTTGCAAGTTTTTTCGAGCACCTACAATATACAATACTGTGTGAATTTGTGTCCATGAAGCCGCCAAAAGGCCTAAAAGATGTGCAAAAACAAAAAAAATTGGTGTTACTCTGTTTTTTTAAGGGTGCTTGGTAATTGGAATAGAGATAATAAATAATTCTTCGAAGTCCCTAGGAATGCTAGGTACGGTTGATCTCCTAACAATACATCCCTTCACGCTTTAAAATAGGTGCTACCTTCGCCCCTCCGTATTTTTGCACACAATAAAAAGGTTACAAAATTCTCACTGGTCAGAAATAGAGAGTTATTGGAAGCGCAACAAGTACAAGGACCACAAAAATAAGGCGAGAGGATATAATATTATAGCCCTACTTTTATTGTCAAGTGTATTCTGTTTCCATGTCAGATACAAAATAAAAGCCAATATTGAATATTTTGGAAATCAATGAATTGATCTTTTTTATCAAAAAGGTCTTTTAAAAATCAAATGTCAATATGTGAAGGGACTATTGAACAGTCTATCCTCTTAAAAATAAATCTTTCCAGTAACTTTTTTAACAGGGGTGAAACAGTAAAATATTCAAATAAACACTCTCCAATAACCCAATAATTATATAGTTTCTCTTTTGATTGACTCTCATTTTTGATTTGATACTGGCATAGTGGCTACACGGTGTTTTTTGAAACAAGAGGAATTTGGGAATTTTTGAAAAGATAGGAAACTTAATAACTAGATTACTATTTGAGAATTATTTTAATATAATCCATCAATATTATTTTTAGAAGTCAGAAAGGAAGGCCAAAAGTTACAATTCCCATTTTCACACATGATGATTCCAATGATCTTAGTGACTATGGTATCGGAAGTAGCACCTATAAAACTGACAGCAATAAAGATGCCGATACGGACGATAGCAGTGGCATTCTGGTAAGAGTTTCACAATGCTTACCAATTACATACTTCTTTAATTGAAACAATTATTTTTAGGATGAGAAAGATAATCAAAAGGTTAATTTGGCATCAGCAAAAGACACGTTTTCATCCAATGAAAGTCAAAATGAAGACGAACTCCCAAATAAACATTTAGATTTATCATCATATAATAATAATCATAATAACAATAATAACTCGCCAATACCTAAAACAAAACCAGTAATCCTAAAGAAATCACATTCCATCGACCTTGACAACAGATTTAATCAGAATAATTTCAATAAAAATAATACAAAGCAATACACTTACGAAGGCGCTATTCAGGATTACAGATCAAGAATTCAAACCAAAATTAATGTCGACGAGTCAATTTTCACTAAAAAGGAAATTAATAAATCTAAAGAATCTTCAGAAGCCCAGACGGTTTTACCTAAAGGCGAAATATCTAAAAGAAAAGGATTGTTCGAATCATCTAAGTCAGTTGAAATAACTTCAATGTCCAAAAATGTTTTAGAGGACTTTGCTAATGCTAGAAGTCTTAAAGATCGACTTAAAAGTTTAGAATCTGTTACGGATCAATCATTATCAAAAATTGATAAGAGTGAAATTCATGTCTCGGTCAAAGAACGATTAGCAAACTTCAACAAGCAAGATAAAGCGGAAAAAGTCACAGAGAAACCTGAAGCAGCTAAGATTAGCACCTATTTGTTGGATAAAACTAACAACACGGTATTTGAAAATAAGTCTGAATGGAACACAAGAGAAAGGTGTTCTAGTCCGGAAACAGAACTATATATGAACAAGCTTAGCATGTTTAACCGTGATTTAAGTAGCCTGATGGGCAATAAATCTTTAGACCATAATTTTGGAAACTATTGTACCAGTAACTGCAACTACCCTCCTTCAACATCGTCAGTCGAACTGGCAGGAGTCCTCTCAGATAGGGAAGATAGTGGCATACATACAGCAGATGTATCTTGCTCAGTCAGTCAAGCTGATGAGCCTATTGATACTGATAATGAAGCCATCTTGAATACTATTCCAAATTGTATTGAAAAGTTGAAGGAAGAAAACTTACACAGTCAAATTATTAGTGAAGAACCTTTGGTTGAAAACAGGGATTCAGTTATCAAACCAAAACATGAAGTGGAGGAAGAAAAAACAGGCTTTACTAGAGAAGAAATTGTGATTTTTACAAAAGACTTTTTGGAAGCCCTGATCAAAGATGCAACTGAACAAATTGCAGCAATACAAGCTCTGAAGCTTGAGGAACAAAACAAGAAACAAAAAGAACTTGAAGAGAAATGTTTGGTTGAAATTGCCTCTGAAAGAACAATAAATCAAACAGAAAATGAATCTGTACATGTACCAGTCGCCCTAAAACCAGTAAATTATGAAAATATCAATTTTACACCTATATCCAATTCAAATATACCAGTAGATTTCATAGCCGGTGACTTTACCTTATCTCCACCTCCCAAAATGGAACCACCAAAAACTCGGCCTCCTCCACCTCCTCCGTTGGATGAATCTATTCCACCGCCTAGACCAGTTCGAAGATTGAACTCTACGAAAAGGATAAAAAAAGAAATCCACAGTAAGAGATCTAGTTTTTTGGGATTGGATGATACTGACATAGATCTTCTAGATCCAGACCAAATTATTGAGAAACCTCCAGATATTACTACATTTTTGCAAAAAGAACAAAAATTGGAGAAATCATTATACCGAAATATACAAGAACAATCAAGAATTGGTTTACTTAGTAAAGTGGAAAGTCAAGATTCAGGCTTGGATATCGATAGGGGAAGGTTGTCAAGTGATACTTGGTGCAGTAGTGTGCCAAGCCATGAGAGACAAGACAGTGAGGTAAGGATGATGCTAGCTGCTATACAAAATATTTAATAAGAAAAAAGACAAAGTACCTAAAATTTTTATGAATATCTATGAAAATGTTCAATTATTAAACTTTAAGGTAATTTTGGGTACAGTATACATCTATAATTTTGATGGTATTATTATTAGATAATGGTTCATATTTTTTAACGTGCTTAATTTTAACTGTTGTAGCTGAGAATATAAAATGTTGAACATGTTAAGTTATCCATTGTTTGAGAAAACCATTTTAATCTCAAAATTATAATTTTTTTTTTTTAAATATCTTTACTAATTTCTAGAATAAATTGCCTAAATTTGTTTTTTTTACATTAATACCATGTTGATTATTTATGTTTTTAGCAAACAAATAGTATATTATCTGAGGAAGATGAAATGACGAAAAAAGAACGTGAGATTATCGAAATGGTTGAGAAAGAGGAGAAATCCAAAGACAAAGTTGAATACGTTACAATTTGCAAAACCCATCTAAAATCTCCTCAAAACGAAGCTAACTTTGAACCAACGTTGGGAAGCGAAAAGTTTAAAAGTCCATACTTTCCAGAGGTAAAAAGCAGTCTACTTTTTAATTAAAATAAGTATCGCACATTTGAATTAGCGAAATCCTTGACGCTTCGCTTCTTATGTCACACTTTGAGTAGATTTTTTGATAACATTAGTTTCATGTTAGCTAGACGAATCAAGAGTGTTGGTTTTTTTTTGAATTAAATTTACACTAGATAAACCTAAAAAAAGTTTAGTTTCGGACAGCACATAGCGGCGTAGTTAGAACTAGTGGTAGTCGTGTGGTCTATTTATCATCGATGCCACTGAGATGCCTAGTGGCTATCCCAGACTAAAACTTGTCTGACTCTAGTAGGTAAATAATGAAACTTTTCGTTGTTGTAGGATCCACCTCATTATTTGGACGATCGGGATACTGAGGTATTAAAAGTAGAACGTGAACTTCAACAATTAGAACAAGAAGAACTTAAACGACAACGTGACAATATTATTTTTCAAGAAAGCCGAAATTCAGCCAGGCTAGCTGGCAACAGACATTCACTTGAAAACATTTGTGATGACATATATCCTATTTATGCTAACACAGACTATAGGAAGTCTCTACCTGATCTCCAGCATTTGCCTTTAGACTACAGGAGGTCCATTGGCGACGTTCCTTCTGGGTATTATAAAAATACCGATCAAATTCGCTACGGACAATCAACTCCGAACATTCAGCACGCATTTCAAACTTCCATGCCTGAACAAAGAAACTTTTTTAGTAGTAACAATCTGGTAGGAATAAGCCATAGAAAACCTATACCAGAGCTGCAACATGACGCTAGAAGATCAGCCTTTATATCTCCGCTACCCAACGATAGGAGACTGATTAAGCCCAGTGTTAAGCCTATAAGATCAATTTCCAATCTTAAACCTATGGTATTCACTAAACCAAGCTTGAAAGCTTTAAGTGCTATACCTAGAAATAGACATTCTGACAACTGGATAACCCCAAAACCTTCCATAGAAGCTAATCAAAAATGGGTGTATCAGGTAATTTTTGCTCTCTACATTTCTCTACACATGTCTCTAAGGCCTATAGAATAATACTGACTTATAATTTGGGGTACAAAATAAAATGATTTAATCTAACTTACCTTTGTCGATAAATGAAATTTTCTACAGAAATGACCCTATGTTTTTTTTTTCAGGAAGCCGATTTACAAAGGTTAAAACAGCAAAAAGTAGAATCTGGTCATGATTGGCAAGGGAAGCAAGACAAACCTCTGCCAGATTCTGTCATACAAACAATTACTCAGAGGGTCCAATACCGGAATAGCCTTAATGAAAGAAATCAACATGTAAGGAGGTGCGTACTAAATTGATTTTGGACTGTCTGAAAATTTGGCTTATTTATGCCTAACCTGTTCTAGAATATCGGAAATAATGACTAAACAATTTGTCTTAAAGACTACTAGTGATTTTTGAACCATAACTATTCTTTCTGTGACTGCCTAAAAAGCTTTGGCTCTGTCCTAAATCAAAACTGATGCTAATTCTAGAACCTTCACTGGAATTATTCCATCCAAATTTCTTCCCTGTTGAATCTGTTTTGTAGATTTCAATATGATAATAAGGGTTGGTTTTTCTGCAATTATTTCGTGAATTTGAAATAAATTATACTGAAAAGGGAGGTAATTCAAAAATATTATGTATGAATACCCAATTCAATGTGATGATAGACCCAAAGTCTCCCATTTAATGAAAATGGTGTCTTGTATTCGAAAAACAAAAATGTAACTTTCTCTCCCTTGGAGAAGTAGAGTATTGAATTAGTTCCAAAACTGGCTTCCCCGAAAAATCACGGTGAAAGAATTTTCAAGGTTCAAACCTAAATAACCTTTTTTCCCCTACTGGGAATTGATAAGGGTTTGATCTTATCATTCTGGTAGCCGGCAACATAATTTTAGTTCAAAATATAAGTCTTAGGAAATGATATTTATGTTTGGTTGGTCGTTCGTGCCCTAATGATATTGTCACGTTTGGTTGGATTCTCGATATCCTGGCGGATACGCTATCCTGGTGGATGCATTACCGTTGCAACATTCATCTTAAGAACGGCTCACTTTAGGCTTTAGGTATAACATATTCACCACGAATGTTGTCTAGAAGCACCCAAAATAATTGAGAAAGTAGGTGTTATCAAAAATTCTTGGGTGGTTGAAGTCTAACATCAAAATATTTTTCCTCTTAAAAAAAAGCCAAAAAGATTTTAAAATCTTGATCCATTAAAAACCTTTGAGGGTCGCTTGTTATTTAGGGAGCACCTAGAGTGTAGGTTTATTCTGATCTTATTGAATGCAGTACTCCTGCTTCTAAAGAATTCCTCTTCCCCCTCATACAACATATTGAACAGCTGAGGTTAACCTTAACAAACTATAAGTTCAAACGAAAAACATAAAGAATTTTTTTTATATAGGTAAACATTCAATTATTTCCAGAAATGAACAAGATTTGAATAAAGACTACAGCCATCATCCCATCTATGTAAATCACCCAAAAGCTGTGACCCATGCAATGTCTTCAGTGCCTTTTTCACCACCACTCATTGAAGAAAACCTTCAAGATAGAATGTTGAGCGTCAGTGGAAAGAAAAAGTGCTCTTATTGTAGCAGTGAATTGGGTAAAATTCAAAACTTTGTTTTAAACGATAATTTTTTATGATAATTATTTCTTTAAGGTCGTGGAGCAGCAATGATTATTGAAAGCTTATGCTTATTCTACCATATGGAATGCTTCAAGTGCTGCGTTTGCCATATTCAGCTCGGAGATGGTCGTATCGGTACTGATGTTAGAGTACGAAACCAGAAGCTTCACTGCCACAATTGTTACTCTAGCGATGATGGTGTAAAGTTTAGTTGTGTCTGAATTTTTTTCGAAACTTTTTTCTAAGTTTTCAAACCTTCTCTATTTATATCGTAATGTATATGACTATATTATTAGGTTACTTTGTATATACAAATGTTTTTTTGTAAATATATATTTAAAGATGTTATGTATTTATGTTCTGTAAAAAAATGATATTATATTACAAATTCACATTGTATAAGTTGGATTTTGTCTCTAATGTTATTATACAATTATTATAGTGTACAGGGTTGTCCTAAATATGAACATACGGCGTGTGGATCTTAGTCAGTATCCTGGTTGAGAATGATTTTTCATGAACAATCGTTATTTGAACAGCAATACCCGATTTTTTTTCAGGAAGGTCATGATTTCTATACCTAGGTTTATTACTAATTTTATTCTTACGTGGGATACCCTGTACATATTTATGTTTGAAACTTTATCAAAACATTGGGATAATGTTAGATTATTGAATTAGGATATAGAACTGAGTTTCAGATGATTATTTAAAAATTCAATAGTCATTTTTAAATGTAATCCTATTTTTTTGAACAAACTTAACTTTTTTTGTTATTCAATATATTTAATACTAATAAAAATTAGAGAGCCAAATTGTTGTTTTTTTTATTATGCCATATCTATCTCTTTCTTTTATTTTTCGTACAAAAAAAACTCAAATTATTCAAAGTACATACTGGTTGCGGTGTGCGTCTCAAGTTGCGAGACTATGGCTGTTTGCTGATGATGCGACCATTGCAAGGCATTGGTTTATGGCAAATAGGCTGTCGCTGAATACAGACAAAACAGTAAATATGACATTCGGACTGAGATAATTGACTGGTGAAAATCCGGAATCGACAAGGTTCTTGAGGGTGTATTCGGATCCCACTGTCCCACTGCAAGCTGTCCAAAAATAAATTTCTTCTCAGCAATTGGTCCATGGTGATACTTTTTCCCGCACTACTGCAAATATCTTTGTTTCAGTTGGGGGCAACTCGTGGCATCTAGCGCAAATGCAACGAGTCTTTGCTTTGTAACGTTGGGCTCTCCGGGTCCAGTCGCGGGTATGCGTTATAAAGAGGTGTTTTATGGACTTAATTATAGGATCGTTACTATACCATCTTGGTAGCAGAGCTGGGCAGTAGCTAGCTACCAAGTAGTTAAGCTACTAGCTTAGCTACTTTTTTGGTAGCTAATAACTTATTCAAGCTACTTTGAAAAAAAAGTAGCTTGTAGCTGTAGCTTTTGGTAATGTATTTCAAGTATTCATAAGTTACTGTGAAAAGTAGCTAGCTACTAAAACAAGCTACTTAAGCTACTTTTGTTAGATAGTTAATAGTTATTTAGGTATTAATGGCGGAAAGTGTCATTTACCGCCCGCAGGTGTGGTTAACGATACTCAACGTCCAAAATACTTATTACGTTTTATGCGCAGCGGACTCTTCTAGTTCAAAAATAAAATAACTATTTACCTATATCTATAATAATGGCATCCATTCGACATGGTCGCGTTCCTAAGCACTCAACATGTTGAGTGATTAGTAAGCGGCTTTGTTCCAGCTAGTGAAATGCACAAGGTAGAAAAGTTTTGATTGGCCTAGAGCTGATTTTCATCTGTTTTCAACATAGCCGCTGACTAATCACTCATGTTGAGTCCTTAGGAACGCAACCATTGTTTTCAAAAATAAATAGGCACGTTTCCACCAACCTATCGCCCGCGTTTGAATTTACCGCTCGATAAAAGTAACTTTATACTTTAATTGCTCAAGCTACAATTATCATTTTCCGGAAAATTCTTATCCTGCCTTGCGACTAGTTTCTAGTTATGTCTGTAGGTACCTATGTTTTATGTGTCCTATTTTATTCTCGCATTCGCAGATCACTGTGATCAAAGTGAACCTAATAAATTAATGTTCAGTGGTTTTTGACAAAAATATGAATACTACTTCTTAGAGAGACAGTTAAATTAATATGTTATTTTCGTATGATGATATTATGAAATTAAATTAGGTAAGGCATCTACATTGATAAAAGTAGCTTAAATAGTAGCTTTCACTCATTCAAAATGTAGTTAAGTTACTAATAGCTTAGCTACTTTTTCAAAGAGGTAGTTGAGCTACTGAGTAACTTTTAGCTACTTACAATATAAAGTAGCTTGTAGCTTGTAGCTAGCTACTTTTTCCAAGTAGCTTGCCCAGCTCTGCGTTGGTAGTTATATTTTATAATTGCCTTTTGTATTGCATGCCCATAATAATAAAGAACGTTTTTTTATCAATTGGCACAAGACAGGGGCCTGATATTCAGCATTCAATTTTTGAATTAAAATTATTGGGCGTATTAAACAAAACTGACTATAAATCCATCATCCAAGGCAGTTGTATGAAAATATATGTATTCAGATATAATTTATATCTTAATAATTTAGTTTGTGTTGTATTTTTTTCAACTAATTTGAGGCGCCAGGCAAGATAGTGACCCCGTCTAATATGCGGAAACTAGCACACCTTTTGTGGAAGATTTCGTAAACATTATTATGGATACATTCTCGTTTAAATGTCAAGGCTACAACGATGATCGATCGAGATTATTTTTAAATTATTACTATTTTTCCACATGAAGGTACCTATTTTTTTTTTGTTGGAAATTTTGATTTTACCTTTACCCTATATACCTATTAGTTGTTAGTGAAAACTGGTGGATATGCCCTTTTATATAGTTGCTATCTCTCAGGGCTTAATATAAGATCGAAAACTTATTTTCTACTACTCGTAGGTAGATCCACTATTGCATGCCAAAAGCAACTACTTTTCGAGATTTCAGCGATAATAAGTTTCCTGTTTCTAAATGAACGACAGACACACTCTCCTAAGGTATATCTCAAGTGCGTTATATTTCCGACATTTTCAAGGGCCATTATATAAGTCCTCTATAGATCAGTTGTGCGCTGAAATGTACGTATTCAAAGAAATTTAAATGCAAAGTTTTCCACTATTTAGAGATATCCGTACACAGAAACTTAAATTCTTGGTAGGTACCTTCGACCTATGTAGGTAGTGTAGGTACCTAGGTATATTAATCTTCTTGCAGGTTCATGTGACAATATATAAGTATGCGCTCCACAAAATAACTGTTTAAAATTTTTTAAATGTCGGTCATTTCTCTTCAGTCTTGCCCACCATAAGACCCACCGATACTTTAGGTACCGGTACTTTAGCTCTCGTTTAAATATTTGATACGCCGTTAAATTGACCAGGATTTTAAATGTGCGAAAATCTGTATGTCTTCAAAGTGATTAGCACATTCAAAACTCTGGTTAATCTAACGCCCTCCCTATCAAATTCGTTAACCGAGAGGAAAATTACCCATCCCATAGGAAATTGATAGCGATGCTGGTTGCCTATAAGGTCATAATAGCTAACTATTATTATTCGAGTACCTATCCAGATTTTTGAATGAGTTCCTACCAGTGGCGTAGCCAGGGTTTGGGGGCGGAGGGGGCAAAGTCCGTTTGGGGCGCCTATATTTTTTAATATATATTTTGTCAGGTTTTTTTTCGATTCCGCATTTAGTCAAAAATTGATAAAAAATAAGGCATGGTATCGATCAGAGTACAAATTGTTTTGTTAAAATTATTGATGAGTGATAGATAGAACAAGATTATTCCAAGAAAAACGGCGTGATTTGAATTTCAGCTGAGCTGAAAAAGACATTGGGTGAATAAATGCATTGTATGTTTTTTATGTTGCGACATATATTATATTACCTTTTCAAATAAACAAAGCTTCTAATTTAAATTATTATTATCTAAACAAAACCAAAAATAAATCCTTTCATAGCAAAAATAAAAAAATAAGTAAACGGTAAGCGATAAACAGAAAATAAATAAACTATGTATAAACATTAAACAAAAAATATTCTATAATATTATGACACTGGACGGTCATGCACAAGTCCAAATCAATTCAAACTTTGAACAATTTGTTTTTTTGTTTTTATATTGCTATTCGCCTTGTGTTGATGCTTTTGAATCTATCTAAGACATCGGAAAGATCTAAGTTTTTTATATAATCTATCTCTATGTTTAATATTGCGATATCATTTAAACGTTGTTCTGTCATTGTCGAGCGATTATATGATTTGATATTTTTTAGTCGATTAAAGGATCTTTCCGCGCTGGCGCTGTTCGTCGCGATCGTTAGGTATATTTTATAAATAATAAATAAATTTGGGAATGAACATTGGAGCTTATTTGAAATAAGATACGGAAGTATCTCATCTGTTTTTAGATTAATCTCTTCCTTTTTCAATTGTTGAAACAAAGCGCAAAATGATTTATACTCGTCAACTAATAAATTTCCATTTACGTCAGATTCATAAAAGGCTGACAGATCCTTAAGATATTTTATATTATCTTGTGACGGAGAGATAACGTCTGCCTCCAAGCAAATAAATTTGTTTGCAATTTGGAAAAAATCTTCAAATCTCTCTGATAGTGTTTGGATGAAAGTATCCAATGCAACGTAGAAAACATTTCTTTTAAATTTTTGGCGCGGGCAGTTTCCAGTGTTGTTAGCATCTGCTTTTTCATCGTGAAAATGTTTGACTTTTTTATGTCTTTTGGAAAAATATTCGTCTGATATACCGCATTTTCTTGCCAGTAGTTTTGCATCCGATTCAAATTTATTAAAACAACTACCGTCACCGTCGCTCCGTAATTTTTTTTAGATCTTCTATTGTGGATTTAATTAGATTAGCGACGGTATTTAAATTAATTTCAACTTTTTGGAGATAGTTTGATAATGAATAAATTTTACAAAGAACTTCTTTCCAAAAATGCAACAATAATATAAATTCAAAAGTATTGATGTATTTTGAAAGTCCGTTAGCTTCTGCCATTTGTCTAGCATTTAGAGTTATTTCGCCATTGGTAATATTTTCTAAGGTTTCAACAATAACCCGAATATTCTGGAAAACGGAATCCACCGCTTTAGTGTGACTAGCCCAACGAGTAGTGGAAAGCTTTTTCAAAGAAATATTTTTTACCTCAGATTCTTTTTGAATCGTTTCAAAAATTTTCAATCTTGGAAGACTTTCAGTTATAAAAACATATAGCTGTTCTAAGGTCCCAAAGAAAAGTTTTATTTCAGGACACGAGTTCACTGAATCGACCAAACTTAAATTCAATTTATGAGCCACACAATGAATATAAATTGCTTGAGGAGCATGTTCCTTAATTCTTGTCTGTAGACCTTTTATGTGTCCTGACATAGTACTAGCCCCGTCATAAGCCTGGCCCCGACACATGGAAATGTCAATCTTAAATGTGGTTATTTCAGCCAAAATGCTTTTGTAAAAAGTGTCAGCCGATGCGGAAGGCAAATCAACAAATTTGAGGAATCTCTCCTCTGCGAAACCATATTCATTCACATAACGCATCGACAAGGACATTTGATCTTTTTTTGAAATATCGATAGTAGAATCAACAATTAAAGTGAAATACTTTGCCCTGATTATGTCATTAATTATTGATGTCAGTACGTGCTGTGATAATAAATTTAAAATTTCGTTTTGGATCTGAGGACTTGTGTAAAGTGCATTCCTCTTTGCACTG